TAAAGACCAATAAATCATGAAATCAGTTTGTTGTTAAACATATTAAGAAATCAATTTTATTTTTTGAATGCCTTCTTTTGTGCACTTAAAATATTTGATGGGTGCAATCCCGAAAAGGGTATAGGTAATTTCAATAAATTTATTTCGATCATAACGAGTGAAAAATTCTGACAACTAATTAACAACGAATAATAATAATGAACTTCGTAATGAATAAATAGTTATACTTTATTTTCATACATTAGATACTCATTTACATTTACCTACAATTAGTTTATTAGTTTTTTATTTAATTTACACAATTCAAAAATTTCAGTTATACATTCATTTTAATAAATACACATTGGGCTATAAAACTTACAACGATAATTCTTTCATAGCACTTAGCAAATCTGTATGTAGTACTTAGTATAATTTACGATATATTGTATTTTTTACGATATATTGTATTTGTTTATATATATATATATATATTTATGTATATATAGAAATTTATATAAATAGGTGTACAAAAAATTACAATTTAATATAACAGAAGAGTAATATTAAACAATTTTGAAAATATTTATATTACTTAATATTAGTAATTTCAGAAACATTAATTTATATTTTTTAATTTAATTTTTAAATTAAATTTTTTTGATTTTGTGTTATAAATTTCTCCAATATTTTACTCAACGTTTAAGTAATGTTTTTCCCTTTACTTATTATCTCATTATCACATATGCTTCCTTAATCAATTTAAGCACGTATCGCAACTTAAGGAAACATACTTTAAGTATTTTAGTTAAATGAATAAAGTTTGAAAATTGACAACGTAATTAAAAAAGCTAAAATTTACAATAACAAATAATATAAAATATAATATATAAATGCACAACAAGTCTAGTAAAAATTGTTTAATATTTTTGCGCTGGGGTTTATACATCGTGTTCAAAAACTTTAAAAATATATATTGTAGCGATTATAGAGGCAGAGATTTGAATTAAAAAAGCAAAAGCAGATGTGGTATAGAGTATTATTGCTTTGTTAATACATTTGGTTGATTGGTTGGTCCAATTGCTGCAAACGGTTATTGAGCTTTTTTTAATTACATATTAATTCCTTACAAAAAAATAAATTATATAGTATCCACTAAATGACCTTCTACTACTGAAGACTGATGATATCGCCTTCGCTGTGAAAAGTCTTCATTTTCATCATTTAATTGTGTCGGTGAGAAATCAACACCAGGACAAGACGGCGTTACCACAATTTGTTCATATTCATGCATACGTTTACTAAAACATAACAAGAAAAAAATAGTTATAATAATTAATAGATGTTAATTTTTTTCAATTACCCGAAGCATCTGAATATAACACTTTTAAGCCAAGCAAAAAAGTTAAACTCTGCCGTTAGACCAGGTTTCACCGCTGGATTGGCTGTGCCTACGTAAAACCATATAATAAAGACAACTAAGAAGCAGGTTAACGCGTAGTACCAATTCACTAAGAGCATCACTAATAATTTTGTGAAAGCCTGAAAATAAATATAACAACATCATAACAACAACATAATAACATCTTCAGAAAAAATGAACTAACTATTCTTTTTCTACAACAATAAAAATTTAACTAATATTAGACTTACGCCTAAAAGTGATGCCCAGCGATTGCAATAACCAGAGTACCAATTTTTGGTTTTTGAATGAATCGGTGGACGTATTGGTGCAATGGGTTCTTCATCTTCATTTTCATGTGGACTTGCACCTTCGGGCGCAGCATCTTGATTAGTGCTATTGAAACCGTCTCGTATTATGACAGCATTTGGATCATTAGTATTGTGATTTTGCTGGATATGATTTCGTTCAGTCTCATTGCTAGAAGCTCCATTTGTTGAAGGCACATGTAGTGGTGAGTTTTGTGGGCTTTGTAAATTCTTATGACGTACTCGATCGGGGAAGAGAATATCCAAATCATTTCCTTCCTGTACAGAACCATAACGACGAGTCTCATATGAAGGACTCGAAGCTTGTATACGAAAACGTTCTTCTCGCTGCTCTTGTATATCAAATGTTTGCGCCAATGCAAAATATGAGTAGTCAATACAAGCATAGGTCAGCAAAAATGGCATGGTTACAATAGGTGCCAAGAAATTGATATCACCAACAATAATAAAAGTTACAGTAACGACAGCCACAACCGCCATAGCATACAGTGGCACTTTGTTAGGACCGCGCTATAAAATAAAAATTCGTATAAATTGTATATAATTTACAAATTAATATTAAAACTTACGCCTTTGCCAAGTGCATCGATGCCAGGAATTACACTTTCATTTGCTATACTTTGTAAAACGCGTGGTGTGCCATACATAGCGCCTAAACACGATGACATACTTGACACATAAATTCCGGATAAGAGTAAAAATTGCACTGCAGAAACTTTAACGGATATCATGAAATCAGTAAGCAGTGTAACACGAGAGCACGTGGAACCAAGGAAAAGCACAAAAACCAAGTAAAGGAAGGTACTAAGTTGGAAAAAAAATACAGTTAAGTCAAAATTTATTCAAAAGTCAATGTGCATCTACTCACGATGTACCGAAGGCTGCTAATGTGCCATTTGGTATATCGGTTGAAGGTGCCCGTAAATCACCACTCATATTAATACCAGATAAAACACCAGTTACTGTGGGAAAGAATACACCAAAAACGCGAAACCATGAATAACCATCCTGATAGTTCGGCCAAAGATTATCAACGAAATCTCCAGTATTCCAGCCATTAAAACCGTTCTCTACGAAATAAATGCAAATATTTAGAAATATATCATTGTACTAGAAATTACAAAAGTAACTTACTAGGATCTTCGCCAACAAAACTGCCTACCATGAAATCTAGCGCTGATATCAGCAATATCATAAGTAAAACAAATTGTAGTTTAATAACCCACTTCACGCCAGCAACATTTATGCAGCCTAGCAATAGCACGGCAGCAGCAGCGAAACCGCGTATTGCCCATTTGTTGTCTTCTAAACCAACTAAACCCGCCATAGACTCACCAAAGCCCATAACGTTTAGAGCACAACCAACAGCTTGGCCAAAACAATACAAAAGACCAAGTGATCCACCAAAACGTGAACCTAACGTATGCGCAATTAGAAAATAAACTCCACCACTTTCAACACGACATCGTTCACAAATGCCCACTGCTGATAGAATTGATACCAGTGCAATGACCACTGTACAAAATATGATGAGTACGGCATTTATAATGCCTGCTTGTCCAACAATCCAACCCGACCGTAAAAATACAATCACACCAAAGACATTTATTAGGCAGGAAGTGAATACGCCATCCCATGTACCAAATAAAACTGGTTGTGATATAAAAAAATTTGACCTCCACCTGCAATTAGAATTAAAAAATCTATTTGAATTCATCTTATTCAGTACATTAATGGATGCAGCAACAATAATTACCATGGTTTATCTCCTTGTTCATCGGCAAATATTTCATTTGCGCCCGATGCATGATGACCACCTGCTGCATACGTGTACTCATTCCCAAGATCCACAAAACCACTTGTGTTGGCTCGCTGTCGAAAATTTGCTACCTCAACATCGTCTTCACTGCCAAGTCCAAAACGATTCCAATCTACTTGAGTACGACGATTAGCTCCGCTAACCGTTGCGTCTCCATTACTCTTATTACTCATCGCTTCTTGTATTTACGCTGTTGATTACTAATTTACGATTGATTGCTTTTTATGTCTCTTCCATCCACGCAATCAATTCTATATCGCGATTAGAAAAACTTCTTTCACTTCTTATCAATACATTGCACTTTCTATTTATTACAATTTATTTTCATTACAGTTTAATACATATACATAAAAAATTAATAATATATTAAAATTGCACTTATATTAATATTTAAATGTTTAAAATATAAATTAAAATTAAAAACATGAAATCATATATCAAAATATTTTCACAGGTTTCGTTTACACTACACAAGTGAGTTGTCAAATTAATTCACAATGGTCCAACTGATGTCATACTCCACCAGAGATGACAAGCCGACACTCAGTTATCGATAACTAATTGCGCGCAGTTGGAGTTCAAAAAGTTTTTTTAAAAAGTTAACCAATTATATTAATTTAAATGAAACGGCTAATCTTAAAGAAGTTGAATATAAAAGATATACTGAATCATTAGCTGGATTCAATAATAATATTTTTTAACAGTTTTGTAGTTGAAAACTGTATACTCCACAAAATCAACAAATTATTGTTTAATATACTATAAACTAATATAGTTTAAAAAGTTTATAAAAAAACAGCTACACTTTTCTGCTGTTCTCAATTAAAGTCATTAGTTTTTAGATATTGAATGTAACACAAATACAAATTCACCGAACTATAAACCATAAATTAGGCCTGTTCCACGAGCTATTCCTAATAAAACTCAAGTAAAGTGCAAACTAAGAGCGTAACACAAATAAAGTGTCAATTTGCGCTCTTTACACAGATTTTCATGGAACAGCTTTGTGTAAAATCTGGTGAGAACACCAGTGGTGCGCAAATAAACAATACTAAAATTTAAATTCAAACCAAAACAACTGATTCACACATCAGCGCAAATTTTACATGAAATAAAATGTACGAGTAAAGTCTGTGCAGCATTTTCAAATTTCGACAGGGACGTTATACTCTCTCAGATGCTCTCATTTACTCGAAAATTTGCTAGTAGAACGCACTTATGTGTACTCAAAGTTACTACGAGTGGCTTGTGAAACAGAGCTAATATTATTCATTTTTTTTTTCGCAATAGCTAGTTAATATATGACAGAACTTTACTAAAACTCTTATTTACAGCGTTAGTTAAACAACGTTAATGTTCACAAATATATTGCAGATATTAGTAGTTTAACTGTAGATAAGTACCATAAACATTCATATATAACACTAAAAGATGATTCACATTATAGGCTTTCAACAATTTATGACTAAAAGGCTATATATTTCTTTATTTTTAAACTAAACTTATATTTTTAATTTTATTCACTTTTAATTTCTATTTTCATCAAAATAATTTGTTAAACTATTTTTCTTTTGTTATGAAACAATGTAAGCAAAATTCTTATCATTTTGCAATATTCGAGGCATAATCTAATCTGCAATTATTGCCTGTTTATCAGAAATCGATTACTATTTGTGGCAATATTTGATTTAATTCACTGAAAAAAAAAACAATTTTAAGTAATAATTAATAAGATTATTATTTTGTTAATAATAAAATATTTTTAATTGTTAAATTTAAGTAAGTCATTTGTAGAATTAAATTGCTCAAGTAAACCCATTTGTTTTTCAACCAAATAATTGTAATATATAATTATGATAATCCTATTATATATTACCTATTATCATTAATAATTTAAATACGAAATGGATGAAGATTTTTCAAAATAACCTTACTCACATTTTATAAATTTTAAATAAAATATTTACAAATTGATTTTTATAAACATTGTCAATATAAATATGATTCCTTACTTTAAATCCTTCCTTAGAAAATTATAATAAAAAATACTTAAGACTTGGGGCACAAGGAACACCAAAAAAGACTATATACTTCCGATTTTAAAAGTATTTTAGAATTTCAGTTTCAACGCAAATATTATTGTATGTTTATGAAACAAAAACAATAAAACAATAAATTATATAGTATATATAAAATTTTTAAAGTAATTACTCTATTTTAAATAATATTTGACAATATAATGGCCCAAATGAATCCCTTAGATATCGTGATGAACTAACACAACTCTTTTTTTTTACAGAAACAAAACATCTTATTCGCATATTTCGCATCTACTATTTAGGCTGAGTGCGAGTGCGACTAATTTGATGGTAAATTGAGGAAAATAGTATATTATATCGGTATGGGAGCAAATGTTGGTATTTACCAGAATTTGTGTAGGGTAAATTAGGTGTTACTATTGTGAAAATTTTATAAGATGTTTAATAAATAAATAAATAAATTTAAAAACTTTTAACCAAAAATAATAACTGCAATAAATAAATAAATACATATTTATATAAGTGCAGTGCAAAAAATCCCTATTTCAAATTTCAATTTACTTTACCTCAATTTACTTGAACTCGCAGACGGTCTTACAATAATATTAAGAAATTAATTAATTATAAATGCTAACAAAAACCATTCTAAACAGCAATGGTTCTAGCTGTCTTTGTTAATAGTTGGTACGTAACGTAAGAACTTGAGCGAACTTAAGTAGAGAAAGAAACGAAACGAAAATCTCGCTCTACTCTAAAATGCAATGCGCGGTATGTAAACAGCTGATTTTGTTTACATCTGAATAAGTGGTGTACGTGAAATAATAGTGAAGCTATTGTAATGAAAATTAAAAACAATCATATTTAGTGAAATAATTAAAAATATTTTTAGAAAAATATTGTGAAACATGAATGATAGAGACCAAATTACTGTGCAAATTGGCAAGATGTTTTTGAACATATTGCATATGTATAGGATACGAAAACGAATGCTCCGTAGAAAGCGGCGAGTTCGTTCCATCAATGTGGATCACGCAATAAATGGATATTATCGGAAAACGTTTTTACCCATGAAAGCAAAAGATGATGCACAATTTTTTCGTCATACGAGGATGTCTAAACAAATATATGCTTTATTATTAAAGCAAATAGCTCCTTCTGTGACAAAACCTGGACAGCAGATAAACGCTGATGAACGTTTATCACTTACTCTTTCGTAAGTGTCAAGTACTGTTTTATTAGTAATTTTTGTAAAAATAACACCAAACATTTTTTAAAGGCATTTGGCACATGGCGACCCTATACAGAGTTTAGCATTGAGCTATAAATTGGGAAAAACCACAGTTAGAAATATCGTGTTGGAAATGTGTGATGTGATTTGGCAAACATTATCACCAAGGTATTTAAGAAAACCTACAGACGAGCAATATCGCCATATTGCAACAGATTTTTGGCAAATATGGAACATGCCAAATTGTGTTGGTGCAATTGACGGCAAGCATGTTGCTATTAAAAGTCCTCAGAGATCAGATTCTCAATTTAATAGCATCGTATTATTAGCAGCTTGCGATGCTATGTACTGTTTCACAACGGCAAGCGTGGGAGCATATGAGAGTGAAAGTCAGAGCGATAGAGGTAGTTACATTTCGCTTCCTTAAAAATATCTAAACAAATATAATAATGATTGTTAAATTGTAGGAATATTTCGAGTAACAAGTTTTGGTAAAAATTTGGCAGAAGATAAACTAACGTTGCCGCGCAGTATTCCTTTACCATTAACTTCGCAACCATTCCCTCATTACTTCATCGCCGATTGCGCTTTTCCACTAAAGAATAATCTAATGAAACCATTTCCAGGTGATGGTGATGACACAAATAGAACACAAAAAGTGTTTAATTACAGATTATCTCGGACGCGTCGGGTGATTGAAAATGCTTTTGGCATTTTAACAGCACGTTGGAGAGTGATGAGAACGTCAATGGAATTTAATCCAGAAAATGTAGAAAAAATTGTATTAGCATGCTTGGTGCTTCACAATTTCGTTATGCTGAATGATACACAGCGATGGTATTGTCCCCAAAATTTTACAGACATTGAAATGGAAGATAATTCTGTAGTTAGAGGAGAATGGTATAACGAATTAATACCTGCTGGAGGACCATTGCCCTCCGTAACGTCTTTTGTACGTCGTGGGCCAGACACTGCATATAATTTGAGAACATACCTGGCTAATTATTTTGTTAAAGAAGGTGCAATTTCTTTTCAAGATCATATTAGTTGAAAGCAAATACAATTAATTTAATTTTTTTATTTTAAGTAATATTAAAGAAAACCTTACAAAGCAATTAATCTCTAAGTAAAAATATGTTATAATGTAATCAATTTAAGTACTAATACTAACTATATATTATAATATTAAAAAACCACTTACGAAATAAATAATAAGTCTAGTCTTACTCTAATTATGTTTTGTATTAATTTTAAATTATAATTTCTATTATTCTTCCATTTGCGCATCCATGAGTATGTCAGTGCATTGCTTTATGACTCTGACTTGCTTTTTATCGTTAAATTTTGATAAAATTGACATTGCCATTTGACCAAAGCCTCGAATTGTTTCATTGTATTGTCGTTCTTGTGACCTGCTCTTAACAAAACTGTCGAAACTTGCTGTTGCTTTCAAAATGGCACTGTCAATTTCATCATGCGCACCAATCTTTCTTTTTTTTTTGGTTGGTTGTCGGGGAAAAGAGAATTTTGGAGTTGGGGACACGTCGTCGGATGATATTGTTTCGGTGGGTGATATTGCTTCGTCAGCTGATATTACTTCGTCCGGTGATATTGCTTCGGGGGGTGTTGTTGCTTCGGCGGATAATATTGCTTCGGTAGGTGATATTGCTTCGGATTTAGGCACCAATGTAGAAAGTTGAAATACCATTGGTGGTAATGTTGGTGTCGCATTCGAAAGCATTAAACTGCCTGGACTTTGTTGCATGATGTAAAGAAAAGCATTTATTGAAAGAATTATATACAGAAAAAAGGACTATAGTTAAATGATATAAAATGAAATAAAAATTATTATATTATTATTATATTATTTACAATTAAAGTAAGCCTAGACCCATCAAAATATTTTTATCTTAAAACATTTTTCATTTTAAAGAAACATTAACTAAATATTCTTTACTTACCCGCGTCGGAGTATATGTTTCCTCAAAAACATCAACTGTTCGTAGAGATGCCATTCTATCGATGTACTACTCCCAGACGCACGCTCTCGTGATTCTTTACCGAAGCGTTCTCTTAGACTTTTCCACCGCTTCTTTACTGCATTCTCTGTATTAAAAATCAAATATATATAAAATTGTTTCAATTATTTTTTTATGTCGCATGATACTGACCATTAACTTCCAGTTCATCAGCTATTTGCTTCCAAATCATATTCTTTTTTTCGTTGTCTTTAAAATCATTATGATTTTTGTCATACAATATTGGATTGTTTTCAACCAGAGATATAAATTTTTCCTCATCCATTTTTTCACTATGAGTAACTTAAATTATCTATAAAAAAAAGAAAAGGATAGTAAAATGTTTAAAATTAATTTTTTATTAGTTTTTTTACTTTTGTTAATAACACAAAAGTTGTAATAACAACAATATTGCAAAACACCCACCATAAACAATATTTCGCGAACAACTGATCAAAATTCTTAAGTTCGCTCAAGTTCGCCGCTTTTGTTTATTTCGTTCCTATCAAATACACAGGTTTGGTTGGTTGTTTATTTCGCTTTGGTGTAAGTTCGCTCACGTTCTTACGATACGTACCGACTGAAAGATACGTCGCTTAAGTGAATGGCATTTGTAGCAATTTGTCTTTGAAAGATAGATTCATTTAAGTGCTTCCATAATATAATTCCACACAAAAATTGTTCTTAAAAACTACTCTTCAGACAAGTACGATACTGCCAATATTAGTGAAAAAAGAAGTCTATTTCTAGATAAGCATTCATTTCAGTTGTGTTAAAATGGAACCCACGCTGAAATGTTTACAATTCTAAATGTTTATTTTAAGCCCCTGTGGTTGTGTTGTTTAGTCAAAAATTTTAATTATTTTTAAATTCATAATATATGTTAATAATATATCAATAATCAAAAATATAAATTTAGATCATTTGGATTTTGTTGATTGTCTCACACACCGTCTCTACCTTCAACGATGTGTCCGTTCAAGTTCTTATAATCTTCTTCCGTGTAGGGTTAATGTTGAAGTCAACTAAAATCAATTAAGTCCAAAATCGTAGGTTTGTGTAGAACTAATGACTTCTTATTGTGACTGAAGCAGCAGCATTGGTAAAGCCTAGGAAGAATTGTTTTAAATTTTCAATTTCGTTCTTACGGACCGTATCGACTGAATGCGCCTTAATACTTTTGTTTTCTAGAAATCAATGCAACCAATATAATAGACTATTTCACATCACTTAATAATACGTTAATAGCTAATAAACTCTAAATAAGCCTTTGTAAAAGATATTTAATTTTTTACAAAATCAAACGTAAGCCTTTGGCTCAATATATCCTTTCGATATTAATGCAAATTTCGACTTTTACATTGTGTTAGGTTATGTTGAAGTGCCGGTCTTATACACCAATGCTTGTTTGAGTTTCAATAATGGCCCATTGCACTACGTTAGCAAAAAAAGTGTAGTTTGCAACCGATAGTGAACTAATTCTAAGTATCAATTGAAGAGTTAATATTTAAAACACACCCCCACTGTACAGTAGGACTGTACATATACAATATTTGTGGCTAATTATTTCAAGTTTTAATTTCTCATCACCATTACTTGACATCTACAGTTCACCGGGGGTTGTGACCAGTATTGCAATTTGTCTTTATACGGGTCTTTTATTCACTGTCTTTAATGCTACTCCAGTTTTAAATGTCCATTATCTCAAAATATGATTTTATATCTTTACGCCGTCTTAGTCTTACTCTAGTTCATGGAACGTTACTTTTAATGATATACCTGATTCCGTGGAGTCTTTGCTATTTAAGTGATCTTGAAATGTTTTCATCATCTAAAAGTTATCAAATACATCGTTCGATTGAACTGACATCTTCATCTTCTTACCATCCTCTTCTTATCAGTTTGTGTTAACAGATATGTTTTCGAATTTTTTCAATATACAGGTTCAATTATTCTATGGGGACGCCAAGGTTCACACTGGACTGTAGTGCTAAATAAGAAGAAGAAAAATTATTCTATAATGAATAATAATTATGTACTTTAGAGTGATAATACGCTCGAGGTTAACTTGAATTCACTCTGTTATACATTTTACATTATTCCATAATGTAGCCCCCAAGTAGTAGCTATATACCAAAATTTAGTACATATATAACTTAAGCTGTTTGAATGAACGATTTTTAAGAGTTTAAAAATGACTACCATATA